AAAGAGACATTTTATGCAAAATGCTACAATTCAGAGTGAATTCTGTTGACCACAATAATTTTTTTGCAGTTATCCCATGGCGAGATGGATGGCTCTAGGGTCAAACACATATTTAACTCCTGGCCACCAGAAAATGACAAATCCAGTTTAAATGATAGCTTTCATCTAGCCTGTATTTAGAGAACTGAAAGCATGTTGGATCATTTTACAAATTCCAGTCCATCCCCAAGGATTATTCTGTCGAGACACTCATATATCAAGGGACTCCACTCCAGTGGGGAGATTTGCCCTTGACCTATAAAAATCCCTCTCAGCATCCTTGCCAAGTTCCACAAGAATATCACCACCCAGTGATTGGAGATATTGCTGTACTGTACAAAAGAAGTGGTTGTGTGAATAGAAAAGAGCTGAAGAGAATCTGTACTCAAGAAGAACCAGGGCTCTAGTCGGGGGGGAGCTCTCAGGTATGGAGCTCCGGAAGAGAACCTCTAGGGGGCGGGGCGGTCACGTGGTGAAGCCCCGCCCCCTTCTTTACCCCGCCCTCTGCTTCGATCCTCATTCCGTTTGGGAATGAGGATGAAGCAGGAGGGTAAGTAGCCGGGCCTTCTGACACACTTCCGGTGATGTCAGGGGGTGTGGCCTTCTGTCACTTCCGGTGATGTCAGGGGGCGTGGCATATGCAAATAAGTTATGCTAATGAGCTCCGGCAGCTCTTTTTCTACAACAAGACCCCTGAGAAGAACTATTTGGTGCTTAGTACTTTCCAGATTCTGACTGGCACAGGTAAATAGTCGGTGAGAGTCTGGGGAGTTTAACGATCCTTGTGTTTTCTGAAGTGTCTCACCTGCACTTGATTTTTCTCACCACACCACCTCACCTCCTGCTAGGCCACAGTGAATAATCTGCAGTGAGAGGTGTTTGGGTAGGTAAATTCACCTTACATTTACATGGCCCCAATTGACCCTGAATTCACCTCTTGTGGCCATCCACAGAATATTTCATGACAATGATGACAATGGTTTCATGACATGATAGCTGGGGTGGACTGGCCATTTAACTTGCAGGGACATTGGTTGGTGGGCTCCTGCCCTAGGTTATAGAATGATAGAGTGGATAGTGTGTTGAATTTGGGTCTCAGTTCAAATGCTGGGTAACCTTGATTGCCTTTCTAATCTCAGAGCGATGGATTTGCATCTATGAAGTAGGACTTACAACAACCTCCTTTACATGGTTGTGGTAAGAATGAGTAAGAGAATGATGTTCCTAACCCTCCAAACCCATTCTGGGTTCCAGATGCTAACTGGGGTGAAGGCAAGAAACAAAACTGGCACCAGACTTATAGCTAGAAACAGTTTTTAGCATTTCCGTAGAGTGTGTCTACATAATAAATTTACAGTGTAATCCCAAGAACCCTTTCCTGCTGGGAGTAAGCCCTGTTGAAGAGACCTGAGTAGGATTCTGAGCCGACCTGTTTAAGATTGTTCTCTTAGTCTGGTTTATTCTTTATTTATTTAGGACGTTTGTATGCTGCCTCTCTAGACCTGCTCAAGGCAGCTTACAGCAGTAAAACAAAACCACTCAACACAATAAAACAGTTCAGGAAAACAAATCACATAATAAAACCAGTCAATCTAATGTCATGTATTTAGTATTGATTACCTCTCTGTCATGGACCAGAGTACAGATTCCTCCTCGTCAAGAGTCTGAAGACCACCCTGACCTGGATAGCCCAGGCAAGCCCGATCTCGCCAGATCTCGGAAGCTAAGCAGGGCCGACCCTGGCCAGTATTTGGGTGGGAGACCTCCAAGGAATACCAGGGCCGGGAGGCAGAGGTAGGCTATCGAGCCACTTCTCTGAACATTCTCCATGCCCCAGTAGGAGTTGCCAGAGGTCACCATGACTTCCAGGCACAGGCACACACACATGCGTGCACACACAAAATGCCAAAAAGAGAGAGAGAGAGAGACTGAAGACCCAGACAAGAAGGAAGCTGAGTAGGTGATGCCACCAGAGAAGGAGGCAGTTGAGACACCTCCAGGAACTCTGGGAGGCTAAGTCAGCCGTCTCAGTTACACCTTCTGCCTCAGAATTGGGCTTCGAAGCATCTACCCCAGAGCCCACTGCAGCACCCGCGGTCCTTCTGCAACTGACCACTCAAGCGTCACAAAGTAGAGATCCTACTCTAACCACTATACAATGCTGGCTCTCAATTATGGCGGCGAGCATGGTGAGTGGAGGCCTGCCGCAAGATCCAGGGCCACTCCCAGCACTTTATGGTAACTAAAGAGGGCTTCCAAAAATGACATCTTCTGAGGGCCATGTCACTATGAACTTTCTTTGGTGGCCCAAACAGCCAGTTTGGTGTAGTGGTTAAGAGCAGCAGACTCTAATCTAGAGAACTGGGTTTGATTCCCCACTCCTCCCCATGCAGCCAGCTGGGTGACCTTGGGCCAGCCACAGATCTCTCAGGATTCTCTCACCCCACCTACCTCACAGGGTGTCTGTTGTGGGGAGAGGAAGGGAAGGAGATTGTAAACCGCTGGGTGCCCTTCACAGTTCTCTCAGAACTCTCTCAGCCCCACCTACCTCACAAGGTGTCTGTTGTGGGGAGGGGAAGGGAAAGTGATTGTAAGCCACTCTGAGACTCCAAGTGAAGGGTGGGATATAAATCTTCTTCTTCATCATCTTCATCTTCTTCCATGGCAGAGGAAGTAATGAAGGATAAGTCCACTAACAGTTCAATGTTTATACCTCTGAATACCAGTTGCAGGGGGCCACAGCAGGGGGAGGCTTTGGGCCTTCATGCCTCCAGTTTGTGAGCTTTCTGTTATGCCAATAAATGCCTATGTATATGTATATATGTGAGCTTTCCAGGGATTCTAGCTGGCCATGAAGAACATAAGAACCCTGCTGTATCAGACCAATGGTCCATCTAGTCCATCATCCTGTCTCACACAGTGGCCAACCAGTTCCTCTGGATGGCCAACAACAGGGCATAGAGGCTGAGGCCTTCCCCTGATGTTGCCTCCTGGCTCTGGGACTCAGAGACTTAGAGCCTCTGAATGTGGAGGTTTTCCTCAGTCACCACAGCTAGTAGCCATTGACAGACTTATCCTCCATGAATCTATCTAATCCCCTTTTACAGCTGTTTACTCCTGTGCCCATCACTACAACCTCTGGCAGCAAATGCCACGTTTTAATCACTCTCTGTAGGAAAAGGGATGCTGGACTAGATGAATTATGAGTCTGGTCCTGTAGAGCTCTTCTTATGTTCTGGATGAGGACAAATGGCACAGAGGAAAGACAAAGAGAGACTGCTGTAGAATCTGACTGCTTCTTCCGGGGGAGGGTGGGATAATGCTGCCCATACTTCTGCGCTTGGAGTACAGGAAGAACGTGTATGGACAGGACTGAGAAGGGCCATGAGATATAAAGAATTCATGGGAACCTATATCATGTAATATCAGCCCTTTCTACATATGTAGTGGGCTTAAACACACTTGCCTTTGTGTTGGGAGATGGTTTTGATATGGGGGCAATTCTCACAGGTTTTTGTTTGTTTTGTTTTGCAGAGTGAAGTCAGCTCAAATGATCATACTGTCCAAAATATATCAGTGGCTTTTTGCAAATTGACAATGTGCATATCCATTTCATATCCATTGAGTCACATTGAGCCACCCTTGTGCCATTTTGTGCCATATAACCATAGCAATAGGTAGCAAGGTACTTTGAGTTTACCACTGTTGATGCTATAGTTCTGTAAGCATTGCAGCAAAACCCAGATTAAGTGCCACATGAGATTCCTATGGTGTCCAGCCAGTTTGGTGTAGTGGTTAAGTTTGTGGGCTCTAATCTGGGAGAACTGGGTTTGATTCCCCACTCCTCCACTTGCAGCTGCTGGATGACCTTGGACAAGCCATAGTTTCTGTCAGAGCTGTCCTTGAAAGGGCAGTTCTGGAAAGAGCTCTCTCAGCCCCACCTACCTCACAGGTGTTTGCTGTGGGGAGGGGAATGGAAAGGAGTTTGTAAACTGCTTTGAGACTCCGAGTGAAGGGCGGGGTATAAATCCAATCTCTTCTTCTTCTTCATGTCCTGGTAAAGTGTGATCTGGGCACATGTCAGAAGAAATCTGTGGCATTGTTATTTCAGTGGCATTTTACATTTGCAAAACGGTTTCTGTTGCTCAGCTGTACCACATCCTTGCAAGGCAGGTCAGTGTGATACCTGATTGCAGACAGGGAACTGAGGCTGAGGCTCAGCTAAGGCTACACATGGCAACAACTGGATCTGAAATCAGGTCTTTCCGGGCCAAGATCAACATGTGGTCCGGTGGCCAAAATTGGCTTTCACATAGTTATGAAGATGAGGGTCAGAAGACCACTTCTCCCGTGCCTTGCCAATTGAAACCAGCCCCAAGGCAGTCCTGACCTGGATAGCCCAGGCAAGCCTGATCTCATCAGATCTCGGAAGCTAAGCAGGGCCAACCCTGACAAGTACTTGGAAGGGTGACCTCAAAGGAGTACCAGAGGCAGGTAATATCAAGCCATCTCTGAAATGTCCAAGCCCCACTAGGGGTCACCAGAAGTCACCCTGATTTCCAGGCTCACTCACACACACAATACTTACCAAAAAGAAAAAGAAAACAGTCCCAAGGGCTCTTCCACCCAGTATCTATCAAGCACAATTGCCAGGTACTGAAGCAGTGAAAAGCCTCACTACTGAGTGATGACCTCTCCAGCTTTTACTCTACTGGGTTTTTTAAAAAAAAAATTACACCCTGCCTTTCTTCCCAGGTAGGATCTAAAGGAGCTTACGTCCTTCTCCTCCATTTTATGCTTACAACAACCTATGAGACAGGTAAGGCTAGGATAGAGTCACCCGGATGTTTCCATGGGGCACAGGGGCAGTCAAACCTGGGCCCTCCAGATCCTAAGCCAACCACAGCACCACACGGGTCTACATTTTGGTGGTAGGGGGCCGGCTTTCCAGTCTCCTAGGGATGTCGTGGTTTAAGCTGCTGGGCTTGACCATCGGGGGCATCCACCAGCTTCAGCAAGCCGACTTTGCGGACGTTTGCAGCGAGTTTCCCCGGGTTTTTGATGGGTCCCTAGGCAGGTTCACGGGGGGCCCCATCTCCCTGGACCTGGACCCGGCAGTCCGGCCCATACGGATTAAGGCCAGGCTACCACCCTTAACGGTGAGGCCGAAAATCGAGGCAGAACTCGACAAGCTGGTGGCGCAAGGGGTGTTGGAGCCAGTGGCATCGGCACGCTGGGAAACCCCCATTGTCACACCGATGAAGCCAAACGGGGACGTCCGGATCTGTGCGGACTATAAGTGCACAATTAACAAAGCACTGCAGGACCACGCGTACCCCGTACCGGTGGTCAGCCACGTGCTGGCGGCACTCGCGGGGGCTCGCATTTTCGGAAAACTAGACTTGGCACAGGCCTATCAACAGCTGCCGGTGGACGCCGCCACGGCGGAAGCCCAGACAATCGCCACGCACAGAGGGGCTTTCAAGGTCCACCGGCTCCAGTTCGGCGTCTCGGTGGCCCCGGGGATTTTTCAATCTTTCATGGACTCTCTCCTCAAAGGTATCCCCGGGGTACAGCCCTTTCTAGATGACGTCTTAATCGCCACCCCCGACGCCGCGTCGTTTGCCACCCGACTCCGTACCGTTCTTCAACGCTTCGACCAGGCGGGGCTGAAGGTGAAGCGCGAAAAATGCTTGCTCAGCGTGCCCAAAGTGGAGTTTCTAGGGTTCGCGGTCGACGCACAGGGCATCCACCCCACGGCAGAGAAGACCAGGGCGATCTCGAACGCCCCAGCCCCCACATCAAAGACCGAGCTACAGGCCTTCTTAGGCCTCCTGAACTTTTACCACTCCTTTCT